TTTGAAAATGAATCTATTAATGTAGTTACCTTCAAATTTAAAGAGTTGCAAATATTTAAGGCTGTAACAAACAAGTATTTTCTGTCGTAGATAACTCTTAGCCAATTTGGATAGGCTGGCAACCTTATAGCAGTCTCCCTTCCTTTTCCCATGTCCCGAATATCATTCGTTTACTGGACCACTTCATTTTTCTTTTGTATCAGAAATCATGTCACTTATCCATCGATATTTTAACTGATCTATTCTAGACAATTTCTGTTTAACCATCAAATTCTACTTCTTACAAGAAATATACCCTATTTAAGAACGTATCAAATAGAAGTAAGACGAGAAATTAAACTAACAAAAATCCGATCAAAAAGTCAACAATTTCAAGGAATCAATATAACAAAGATATAATATTTAAAATACAAAATGCATAGAGTAGAATTACCAAGATAACATTTTATGTCTTTAAATAAAATTAACAATAAAATAGTCGTAGTAAAAAACGATTTCTCATATTTACATGTTTGGAACACTTTGGTACATCATGTACACACTGTTCATCGTTATACTGTCGAGCTAATGTTCTGGCAAAAGACAACTATTGAGAGTTTATGGAGGAGAAGATGCTAAACAAGGAGCTTATCCGTATGTTGTTCGCTTTGAACTCCGGTGTACTATAAAGGTGGCTGATGGCAGAATACTTGATAAGCATCTGCATCTGTGCAGTGCGTCTGCTCTGTCATCAACGTGGGCAGTCACAGCGGCTCACTGCTTCGCTAATTTAGACAATAAGCCTGAAGGATTCCAATCTGTTAGTCCCGTGATAAGGTAAAGCGGTTTATTAAACTAAGTCCTGTAGATTTAAGTTTATGTTTAAGTTGATTATCGATAAAACACGAATAAAATGACATTTTCTTAAAATGATTCCTAGCTAAAGCGATCTATCGCCCTCGAAACCTATACTAATACTAAATTTTATGAAAATCGTTGGAGCCGATTTCGAGATTCCAATTATGTATACATACTAGCGGACCCGACAGACGTTGTCCTGTCTACACGTCTTTAATTTGAATAAATTAATATGAAGTTAATATTTGATGTAAATTGTGAATCTTAACCATTCCTAGATCCCCTTGAACACACACAAAAAATTTCATCAAAATCGGTCCAGTCGTTTGAGAGAAGTTCAGTGACATACACACTCACAGAAGAATTATATATATAAAGATATGTATACAAGAAT